TAAACTTTCTAAAATATTATATGTTTTAGTGTTGATACTATTTTATTTTTACTTAATATTAAGTATAAAATAGCATTTTAAAAATAAACATGGTTTCCTAATTTAATTAAGAATTTTTTATTAGGATCATGATATTCAAATTGGAAATGATATATCAAATTCTGAACTTCTTTGCTTGCTTTTAAAAACGCAGTTTGATCGAAATGTAGTCACTCAGTTTGATGTTCAGGTATGTAATTTATTTTTAAAAAGCATAATTTGTTAGTAGAAGTTTATAAAAAGAAGAAAAAATTGATTGAATTATTGTAATAAATGGTCAATTATTGGCTTAAAACTAAATGTGCATGAAATACAAGCTAACATTATTTATGTTTTGAATATAACACAGACTACTAGAAGAAAATATCAATTATTTATATTTTGCAGAAATTTATTATATTAATATTTCTTATACTGTACAGTACATTCTATTAAAAAAATTATTTATGTAATTATTTTTTCTAAAGGAAAGTTCACAAAGATTGCTTAAAAATAATATGCTCATTTTAAATTTTGCAAATTATATTTTATTAAATAAATATTATTAAATATTTTTCATGTTTAAATCTAAAATATAATGATTTAAAATTTAAAATGTCTAAACCAAAATATAATTTAACAATAAAAATTCAAATAAAATTATTAAACTATTTGATAATGTAACTTATTATGTAAGTTTATGGCATATTAAAGAATAAATTAAAATATTTTTCTCATTTTAGGAATTAATATTTGATCATATTTTTAGCCATCTTGGTATTAATACTTCAGGATGTGTTGACCACCCTATAGTTTTGACAGAAGCCATTTGCAATCCAAGTTATTCTAGACAATGTAAGAAAATCATTTAATAATTTTTTAAATATTAAGATATAATATTATAAAAAAGATTAAAAATTTAGAATGAAATATATATTTAAAAATTAAAAATATACAATATTGAAGACAAATAAAAAAAAATCATTGTGGTCTTCTAAACATCATTCTTAACTACTGGAACACAATCAACATTGGCAGAGTTAACCTCCTTTTATAGTTATATTTATGCGAATTGTTTAAAAAGTTCCTGTGATGTCAAATATCTTCAAAATTCTTACTGTAAAAAATTTAAAATTCAAGATGAAATATATATTTAAAAATAAGAATTTTAAATTTTTTACAGTAAGAATTTCAAAGATATCCAACATCACAGGAACTTTTTAAACAATTTGTATGTATGTACATACAAATCGTTTAAAAAGGATATAACAAGGAAAGGAAAATATAACATTAGTTGCTAATGTTGTGTTATATTTTCCTTTCCTTGCATCATATTTGTGTTCTTTGATTCTAATATGCAATTTCCATAAAGAAAGTGTATGGTAAAGTCCACCAATTTCTATGATTATCACAATGTAAGTTTTGATGTTAATATAAATGGAACATCTTATTGAACAGGTAAGAAAATATACATCTGCATTGATCTGATTATAATGATTTACATTATCAAATAAATACAGTGGTATCTCAGGTTACGAACGCCCCAGCATACGAAATTTTCAGGATACAACATGAAATTCGAACATATTTTTGCTCCACGATACGAACAAAAACTCACCATACGACGTTACATTAGTTCGCATTTTTCATTTGTTTTTCTTACTACAGTTATTTTTTTAAATGTATTACTTGGCTTTAATTTGAGTATGTTTTTCGCGTTGGAACGAATTATTTGGTTTTACATGTAATCGTATGGGAAAAGATGATCCACCTTACGACATTTTCATGATACAATCTCAGTTTCGGAACGGATTAATTTCGTATCCTGAGGTACCACTGTAAATAGTATATATTTTGTTTTCCTACAGCAAATTCAAATAATTTAAAATGAAATTTTATTCTGAAAAAATTGAAATATATAATTTAAGATAGTTTTCATATTAGATTATATTTAGTTTGTATCTGCATTAAAATAAATAGGTTATGTATATATATATTAATAGAAAGTACTGTATAATAAATTGAATATATTATAAATATTTTAGTGGTGTTAAAAGTGTTATAAAATGATAGATAATATACTATAATTTTAAATTGTGTGGTTTTTATTGTAAATATTGAAAATAAATTAGCATATAGTAAAATTATATATAAATTCTTAAAAATGAGAATAATATATAAGTACAGGCTGTCTGAGGAAGATCTATATTATTATGAAATTTCATTTAAAAAATGAATTAAGCAGTCAATTGAAACCACATTTCAATAGACTAAAATTTTATTTAAAAATTAAGCAAAATAATATAGATTTTTCTCAGACTCTGAGTATTATTCATATCAAACATTGAGATATTATTTTCTGGAAAATATCTGAAGATTATAGATAAATTTAGAATTGAAAATTTTTTATTTTTCAGTGATGTCTGAATTACTTTTTGAATGTTATCAAGTGCCAAGTGTAGCTTATGGACTTGATGCTGTGTTTAGTTTTTATTACAACATTCCAAAATATCAAAGTATGGATATTTATTTTTTATTCAAAATAAACAATACAATTTTAACAAATATAAGAAACAAAATTTTTTATTTTTAGCTCAGAATGGTATAATATTATCTAGTAGTTATAATACAACTCATATTCTACCAATTCTACAAGGTCAAATAGATTTTCCTCAATGTCGTCGAATAAATGTTGGTGGTAATCATTTGATAATGTTTCTTCATCGTATTTTACAGTTAAAATATCCTACACATTTTTCTGCTATTAACAGAACTAGATGTGAGGTAATTTTTATTTGTTTATATATGATATATTTGAATTTTTTTTAAATTCTTATGCTTTACACATTAAATACTTTGAAATATTGAATTTATTGCTTATATTTTAANGTATTAAAAAGGTATGCAAAAAATTCCAGATTACAAATTATATCCGTAGCAAGAGTGATACAAATTGTTTCCTCCAGAACACAATGTCAACTGTCCGTTGCAATGACAGTTTACAAATTCGACAGTACAAATGAACAGTGGTGTAATCGTCATGACAGACGATTACACCACTGTTTATGTTCGTTTGCACAGTTTTCGATGAGTCATATCATTCTTAACTTGGACGGAAATGAAATTTGTTACAACGTTGCACTTAGTCTTTCATATTTGTTATTAGTAATTTAAAAGACATTTTGAAACACATACGGAATGATAATAATTTTTAAAAATATAATAACACAAAAATGAAAAGGAAACTCGGGTATGTTTATCGAGAGCCACAAATAATCCTTCAAAGAGCCGCATGTGGCTCGCGAGCTGCAGGTTGGCCACCCCTGCTCTATGCCTTCGTAAAGGACGTACTTTTCCTTTGTTTAAGGGTATTTGGGCAGTTTATTCTGTTGTATTCTCAAGCAAACAATACATACAAGTTCAGTACAATATTTTCTGAGGAAACACGCATACTTATCCTTTTTTAACCCCATTCCCGATAACCCGGCATTTTCACAAACTCGGCCACCCTTCAGTCCACATTAGGTCGAGTTTTTGAGGCTCTACTGTATCAACATCTAAAATCTGATAGTTATATATAAAACCTACCTCTAGTACCAAATTATTTGGAATTTAATTATTAATAATAGTGGAAAAATAACCCGATTTCTTACAGTGATCATTTGGCTTTGACAAAGTAATATATGCATCAAATTCATTTTAAACAAATTTGAATAAACATATATTTATTCAAAATAAGCAGTTACATTTTAAATACAGTAGTAGTTATTAAGTAAATAAAGATTTAAGTTTATTGAATCCAACTTCCACTCCTAATCTGTCTTTCTCAGGTAACCTTTAATGCTATTTTAGGGGAAAATATAATATTCAAAATATGTTATTTACCTAATATAACATTTATTTTTATTTGTTGAAAACATAACATGCAAAATGGATGTATTGGATTGATTTAAATGTTTTTTTTATTTTAACTTTAAAGCATTATTTTTAAATTTATTTAAATATGTATACCAATTTACTTCACAATGTATTTTGCCATAGAAGTTTTATGTTTTCAATTCCAAAATATACCTTTGCTTAAAAATAAATTAATTTTCTGATTGTCTTTATATAAAAAGAATATGGCAAAAATTAGACTTCTCTCATTGACTAGCTATTCTTTAAAATTCTCTGTCTTTTCATTCCAGTGAAGAAAGAGCATTTGGAAAGTAATACTAATTTTAAAAGTATATTAAATGAAGATTCCAAATTTTTATTAACTCATTTCAGAAGGACTTATCTAATTCTATTATTTTCATGATAGGAACAATTATTTTGTCACTTTCAAAAAATGTTTGTAAATTTATAATTAAGCAAAAACCCAAACTTCTTAATCATGAATACATTTTTTGTTACAGTAAAAATCAATATACAGATATACCTCGACTTACGTCGTTTCAAGTTACGTCGTTCCCGATTATACATCGTTTGTCAAAAAATATATGGAAAAATAAAAATCAAGTTTAAGTCATTTTACTCAACTTTACGTCTGTCCGCCACAAATATTGAAGTCGTAATATCACTAGAAAAGCGTTTAAAGCACATAAATTCGTATTAAAATATATACATTTACAAGTATGTACTGTATTTACAGTACATGCATTCGTAAATTTAGATTACTTTTTTCTGTACTATATTAAAAACTAAAATTTATTTGTTTGTAAGCTTAAAATAGATCCTTATTAACCATATTTTATTAAAAATGCATTAATAAATAAAATACAGAACCGGAAATGGTAATTTATGGTTTAGCCTAGTGACAAGTAGATTTGGAGACAAGTAAATTTGACTTACGTCGCCTCTCCTGGAACTAATTACTGACGTAAGGCAAGGTATACCTGTATCCACAATTTAAAAACAAAGTTTTTAGGAATTTTAAGAAAGCTATTAGTCTTCATTTATCAGTTTGGGAGAATAAAGTTTATTGTTAGATGATAAAAACGATATGATTTAATAAATAAAATACTTAAACTGCTGAAAAAACAAAAAGTTATGAAATCAATATTTTTAAAACTGAATTATGAAAAATTCAAATCAAAATAGATCTTAATTATAAATGTAACATCCATTAATGATAATGTGAAATGTGTTTAGTATTAATGATTTTCATAAAGATACAAAAACTGAAAAGTTAGGAATTTCAAAAGCATCTGGCAATGATGAAATGCATCTTGTGGATTATAGAATGCCATATTTTGGTCTTAATCTCATATGGGTTTGGAATTTCTTTTCTACTTCTACTTCATGATCACTATGATTTAATTTTTTTTTGTTACTTTTGCAAATTTCCTTAATTAAGAACACAATATAGAATAGCAACATCACATACACACACTTCTTTTATGAAACATTTTCTATTTAGAAACAATTTATAATTTATATTATGTATTTCAAAAACCATAGTAATTGTTNCATTTAAAAGATTTATTTAAGAAACATTTTAATATAAAATAAATATTTAATAAATTTTTAAAGAACTTTTTATATTTATTAAATCAATTTTTGTGTGTAGAATTTAATTTTCCAACATATGAAAGTTGCCTTGAACTTCCAGGAAGAATTAGAAAATTGGAATGATATGGAGTATTATAATAAACATGTACATAAGATACAGTTACCTTATACACCTGTAAATATATATTTTTTAAATTTTAAATCAATAATGTTGCAATATAAGAATTTATATATAATCATAATAATATGTATGCACACAATGTTTTTTTCCAGTTCAATTTTAGCTGATAAATTTACCAATTAAATATTTTTTCTGACCAGTTAAAAATATTTTATTTCAGTTTATTTTATTTATTGCTGTTTTTTAAAGACCAGACTACTTATTAGTATGCTATTGAGTATTATAATACTCATATTGTTATTTTGTTGTTAACTGAAGTTTGTAAAGAAATTTGCAGTAGAAGCTATCTATTATTGCAAATCAACCTCCTAAAATATTTTCCTGGAGAAAAACACTGTGTTGTTTATACTAGTTTCTTATTCTGTTTATTTTAGTTTCATTTTCAAGCATATAATATTGTTTTCTACAGACTTATCTTTATGATAAGTCTGTAAAAAGCAATATTATATGCTTGAAACTTAGGCGACAATATGGCTGAATTTAGACTTTATTGATATTAGTTACAAGAAAACCTATGTTAAAAATTACAGTAAATAAACATTTAAGAGGAATAAAATATAAATAACTTATGCAAATTTGGCTGTAGTTGAACACTGTTCAAAAACAGGACGTGAATTAGTTATAAATAAAGTAAACATTTTGAAAACTGAAAAATTTAAATAATTTAAATACAGGTATAAAAATTAACGATATCTGGCAACATATTCTATAAAGACCGTGCATTCTATTGTTTTAATTATTGTACTTGCTCCTCCTCCTACTTCAATGGCAAGACCAGTTATGAAGTAAATCATAAATGGATGAAAAGGATAAGAGAATTTTTTTAAATGTGATATTTTTAAAATTTATTGTAAGTTATCTTTTTGTGATATAAATTATGATAAAATATTTTAAATAAGAGATTTGTATTTAGATTATATGTTAAGAAAAATTGATTGTTATTAAAATAGTACAAAAACATCTTTGAAGAATACAGGTATTTATGCTATTTATAATTGGCGGTGATAAATTTTTGTAATATGGCATCTTGATACATTTATGATATTAGGTACAAAAGTGATAAGAACTGATGAGGGGTATGACACCCGAAATACATTTTCTTCTAATATCATTAAAGTCTAAATTCAGCCATATTGTTTTCTAAGCTCCTGTATAAGTCCATAAAAAAACATTATGTGCTTAAAATTCTGTGTGTGTATCAGTTTTGATTCTTCCTGTCATGAAGGTACAGAGTGAGTGGGTCTTGTTTTAATCATACTCATTGTAGGATTTGCCACTTCACAAAATGACTAAGCAGTGAAGAAAAGGGCCAACATATTTGGTACAATAGCCCATAAAGATTTTCAAGGCTAAGGTTCATGACACAAACCTGTCCCTCAAAATAGTAGGCTGATAACTTTACCATGTCAGCTGTTTTAGGTGCATCCATATATATATTCTAGGCCCAACCATATATATATATGCATGTATGTATGCATGTATTAATACACTAAAGAATCAGTTTTATATATTAAAACTATTATATTATCATGACTTAATTTTCAAATAATGTTATCTTTTATATTATAATTCTGAAAAATATTGATGTGTGTTGAAGATGATATAACAAGACAGTTTACCAGATAATAGTTTAGTACATAGACTTTTATTGTTAATGTTACTAAATGTTTGAAATTAAATCTTGATTTTTTTTAAATCAAATGATTAGATAAACAATTTTTTATTTAAAAAAATAAGTTTAAAAATCAGTTTAATTATACTAATTTATATATATTAATTCTATTACATTACTATGATAAAGTTAATGCAAATAAAATATTATTTGTTTAGAATCTTCATTTTATGAGATGAATTTGGAATTTTTCTCTAAAAGTAACTTGTAAAACATTGAATAGATAATGTATGTTTATTAATTAATTATTTTTGATAAAGTCAAAGAAACTTAAAAATGTTTTTTATTGTAAAAAGCATCATCATCATAATCATTATCAAAATTATTATTTATATTGAATTAAAGAACCAATTTAGTAGTAACTCTCTGAAATAAGTCTTTACCAGCAGTTTATGAATTTTAGTATAATTTAGCAGTACTATTTAAAATTATTTACTCATAGGCATTATGAAATTTATATTATTGTATGCAGTTTTGTTATTCATAATAATATTTCTTAAATGACATTACATTCAGATTCCAGGAAGTCACAGTCCTGTAATAGATGGAAAAATGGAACGCTGCTTTTCAATGTTAAAACGATTACAGGAATTAAATGCTGAAAAACGAGCAGAAACTGTAAGTATTTGCTTTTTACTTGTAATATTTATAATTATTTGGAAAGAAAAATATATTAAAATTTTAAAAATTAAAACAGTCCATTTAAAAAATTGTTGTAAAAGCAGGAGTTTTAAAAACTAAAAGCATTGATCTTTATTTCTTAGTGTACTTAGTGTAGTTAGTTTTTAAATATTTCATTTTTATGGAAAGCCGATTTTTAAGAAATTTATACAGGCCTCTGATTGAAATTTAAAAGCATATTTTTTATTAAATCAATAAAATAAATAAATTACAAATTTCAATAGGTGTAAGATATTTAAAATTTAAAACTTAAAGGAATACTTAAAGTTAATGGTATTGATCTCTACTTTTGCAGTATATTGATATTTCTGAAATATTCTTTACTAGCAAAAATGTTTTGAAAAGTTCTGTACACAATTAATAATGTATCTTATTTAAATCTTATAAATGAAACTTTTAAGGAATAACAGAGGAGTGTATCAAATTTTGGGAAATATGTAAATATTGATAAGATTCTGATTTTAGAATTAAAAGGATTTTTAAAAATAGAAATTAATTTTCTAAAATGAATAATCACAAAACAGCAACATTTATATATAACTTCTTTATTGTTAGCTGATTTAAATTATTAACATTTAAAACTATTATGGAAATATATAAAAAATTATAAAAAAACAAAGTAAACCCTACTAACTCAGGGTAATAGGGGTAAAGGTTGTCATACAGAATGTATACTGAAGGTTTAGAGCTTTAGTATGTTACTGCTGAATTTATTACTACAAGAAGTAAGCTCAAAAAAATATGACACTACAGTATATAATATAATGCATGGTATTGCAAAGATTTCTGGATATCTAAAACACTCATTACAGATATCCATTGATTAATGTGTTTAATTCATCCCTCGATGCTACTGTGTATATCAAAATTTTATTAATCAAATACAGTGATACCTTGACACTTGACTGAACAATCACCATCCGTTAGAAGAAATTTTTGGTTTATAACAAATATTTTTATTTTAATAAATGAAAATAGTAAATTCATCAACATCTTATTTGCTGAGAAAAACATACCTGTGTTAATTAAAAACAACTGTTAAAGCTGCATTAATTAAAATTTTTTTTGCATGTAAAAAGGGATTGCTGCAATTCATTTCACATGTTAATCAAATCTTGTGTTAAGCAAGTGATACCTATAATTATAATTTTTTTATTGTCAAGAAATTTTAAATTACTGTACAAGTTTTTGAGAAAACTTGTCTGAATTAGTGGGGGTTTATTGTAGTAGGATATTGTGCATTTTTCAGTTAATAAAAAATTTTTATAATCAGTTAATAAAATATTTTGAATTAATAAATAATTTTATTAATTGTAAATGAACATCATATAAATCATAATAGAAAAATATGATTAAATAAAATTCATTTAGTTTTTATAAGACAAATTTTTAATTATAGAAATAATTTTTATAAGATAATGTATATAATAAAAACAATATCATTCTTTATGAGATAGATTTTTGTGTCCCAATGTTGGTCTTTAAATTTAAATTTGATTATATTGATATATTAAAATTTGTATAAGAATTTAATAAAATAATCTGTTATAGATTTCAAAGTAATGATTTTGTTTATCTGTTTGAGACATATTTTTATATTTAAAGTTAATGAGAGATGAGGAAAAGTTGCAACATTTTCTTAATATGCAAGAAATATTAGATGATGATGAAGAAGACTTATTTTTGGTAAGTTTATGAATTTGTCAATTAAAATGGTGTAATAATATATTTTAATCAATTCTAATTGCACATTTTATTTTATATAATTTATCTTAAAGAAATTACCATAAAGAATAACTACAAGAATATACAGTTTTACAGATATATACAGGGTGGGTCCAAAATTATGGGTCAAACTTCAGTTGATGATTCCTGCCAAGGCAAGAAACAAAATGCTTCTATAAACATATGTCCAGAAATGCATAGTTAACACACACTAAAGGTTGCATTCACATGTTGTTCTAGAACAATGCGTGAATGCTGCCTGTAACACAATTCAGATACAAGCCAGAACATTTGAAAGGATGCATCAGTCTGTAATGCAATGTGTGCATTCGTGCATGTAGACCTATGGGAAACACTTCAAGCATCTGCTTTGACTGGCCAGACAGGTCTGCAATACTGTTCTGTAATTTTATGCAGTGTAATAAATTTTTTATTGTGTGTTAACTACGCATTCCTGGACTTATGTGTATAAGAGCAGTTTTGTTTCTTTTTTTGGCATGAATCACCATCTGAAGTTTGTCCCCATATTTTGGAACTATCCTGTATATATAATAAACATTGCACTGTTTCAGTTCAGGTGTATTTTTTTTTAAAAGATCATAAAAAATTAAATAGAAATATAATATTTAAAAATATTATATTTTTAATGATTTTTTTTTTACAGATAAATTTTGTCCTAACTTATTTACAAAGAAAATTTAAACAAGCTTAGTATTTATTTATATTTCCATTTAATAAGACAGTTTACATTAAAACAGTTGTGTTTTAAATTTTGAAAATGTAATTAACATTACAGTATTAAAAATTATATTTGTATAAAAACTATTGCAGCATATTATTTGATAAAACATTTTACATAAATAAAATCAGTTTGAAAGGAATAAGTAAATAACATTTTTATGCCATTTAGCATTTCTATATAACTTTAGAAATAATGATTTTTAATTAATAATTTTCAAATGTAAAGTTTTCTTGAAACAATTAACCTATTCTAATGTTATTACTTAATTAATGCATTTAATTTTAAATTTATTGATATAGCAAAAAAGTTTACATGAATTCGGGCTTAGTTCAGTCACAGAACTTCAGATTGCTATTAATAAATTAAATCAGAAGATTCGAAAAACAAGAAATTATGTTCCTTATTTCTCGTTTGGAGAAAGTGATGGGCAGGTTCGTTTTTTATATTAATTAAATAATAATAAAAATTTAAATAAATTATTATAAAAAATTAACTTATTATGAAATTTCAATCTTCCAATTTTTAATTTCATTGTAAAGTTTTGAAATATTTTTTTTATTTTATATTGTTGAAACTGACTAATAAAATTTTTGTAAAATATTTCAGTTTAAACTTAGTAAAGGCCTTTACAATATATTTCTCTTTCTTTTGTAAAGCTTTTTACTTGTAAAATTCCATAATGCATTTTGAGATAAAAAAGTAAATAAGTTTTCTCATTAGAAAAGTTTTCAGATCTACTTAATTAAAATTGTCTTTCTTCATATCTAATGATAATATGCATTGCATTTAATAATGTATTCAGTGTATTCTTACTGAAGAGGTACAGTACATTTGTATATGAGGGGGACACCAAAAGAAATGCACTGATATTTTTTTAAATAAAATATTCAGTACATGCCATGAAATTGCTGAAGAATATAAATACATCCTTCGTATGTTTGTTTATGTATTGTTTTTACGCATCCCACAAGAGGAGCTTGTGGTAGATGCTTTGGAAATGATGGCACTGCTAGACATCTGCTGAAAAGTAACACATAATGATTGAGTTCTTGGCATGTGAGAAAGAGACCATTGGTGTCATCCATAAGTGACTGTATAAGGTGTATGGAAATGAGTTTGTTGACTGCAGTACTGTCAGTCATTGGGCTGTATGATTTTTGGTGTAAGATCGACATGGCAATATTCAAGATTTGATAAGAAGTGACAGACTGCTAACAGCAATGTCAAAAGCCATAATATAGCAGGTAAACAATATGAATCTCATAGTTGCGTAATCATGAAAGAGTGAACATTGGATTAAACATTGGAGAAGCAAGTGTGTGCAGAAAACTGTTGGGATTTTTGAAGGAGATGGGAAAACCACAAAGACCAACAGAAGTTAATTTCTTTTGAATTATTGGCATGTTTTGAGGCCAAGAGGGCTGATTTTCTACCATGAATAGTGATGGGAGTTGAATCATAGCTCTACCATTTTAAGCCAGAAACCAAATGGAAATTATTGGAATGGCACTATGCAAATTCTCTTGCAATGCAGATATCCAAAACAATCTCATCTGTTGGCAAAATGATGGCAATGATGTTTTGGGATATGAAAGGTGTTATTCTTGTAGAGATCATGCCAAAGGGATCCACCATCAATTTAGCAGCATATGTGGAGACTGTGTCTCCATATATGCTGCTTCATGATATGCATATATGCTATATGTCTATATCATGTTTACCTCTAAAATTGTTGTGCTGATGTTCTCCTTCAGCACAACAATGCATGGCCATATACAAATCTTCAAACCAGAGAAGCGATCAGAAAAATCAGATGGAATGTATTGCTGATTTAGCACCAACTTTCCTGTCTTTGGTCAGTTAAACTATACATGTGAGAAACAAAGTTCCCTAATGAGTCAGTGTGGTGGTAGAAAAATATGACTGAAGAATGCTGGTCTTGAGTTTTACCTAGTAGGGATACAAGCACTAGTTTCAAGATGAAGTATAGATGTTCAGAATAGTAGGAACTATGTGAAAAATAGGACAATGTACCTGCAGGTTGAAAGTATGATCTGTAAATGTTAAACAGTTGTAACATTAAAAGTCCTTTTAATAAAATATAGTGCATTTTTTCATAGTTCTCATATACATGTATACAGTAGAGCGTCGTTTATCCGAATCAATTGGGGACTGGGGTGGTTTGGATAACTTATTTTTCGGATAACGAATCATGTACGAAAAAATATATTAATTTATTCCATGTTGAAATTTCTCTCCGTTGCGTGTCGCTTCGCGTTGAATTTTCGTCGATGTTAAGCCTAACGAAGACTATTGTATCGTTAAAAATTATTTTTTTATTTTGTACAAACAAAATTAATTTATTGAAAAATATAAAAACAATAAAAAATTATACTTCAGATGTTAATTTAGTATCAAAAACGTAAAATATTTGAGTAGCCCGAGAAATAGCCAAAGATTGCAGCGCCACAGCACTAGCGAAAATTTAAATTTGCCGACTGGAATGCTTTCAGATAACGGACGTTTCGGATAACCAGCTTTCGGATAAACAACGCTCTACTGTATATATATATATATATACACACTGAATGACTATTTTATTACATATGGCTAGTTAGTAAGTTGATCCATCTTTGGCCTACAGGAAAACTCAGTTAATCTAGGTATGAATTCAACAATGTATCAGAAATGTTGCACAGAAATCTTGATCTATCTTAACATGATGACATCATACAATTTCTGTGGATTGAATGATATGCAGCCATGATGTAAATTATGATGGCAATGAGGTAGAGTCAACCTCATCATCATCATGATCCTAGATCTCAACTAGATTGAGCATAAGATACAGAATTTGAGTGTCTTATTAAAGCAGGCAGAACTCTATATTATTTTCTGTGAAATGCATATGCATATGTAACTTGGTTAATTAGAATTAAAAAATTAAAACTGTAATAATAATAATTATTATTATAGTTTTAATTTAATTTAATTATTATTATTACAGTTTTAATTTAATAATAATTATTATTATTATTATTGTTAAGTTAAATTAAATCAAGATTAATTAATTTTAATAGGTTCTGAGCATCATCTCCTTTTGATTGTAATCAAATGAATAATTTTCATAATTCTTCAAATCTCACATTAAAAAATCTTTTTGATTTAACAGAGTACCCTTTAACAATAGCCATCTTCAGGCTGTTTTACAAAGTTGAATGCTTAAACTATAACAGAACACCATAGATTGAATACATAAATACCAAACAATACTTAAATCTAAGATTATTGCTATGACTAGTTAAAAATTACATATAAATTCCAAATCATATCCTCTATATGCAATATAATAAACATTTACAAGTAATGCAGGTAGTCCAAGTACTAATCCAGGTACTAAATCACATATACAATAATGATCTCTATCTTGGGGTTTCAAACCCCAATCTCCCTGCACTTGAGACAATGTCTTGGTCTCTGTATTGTTGTATGATACGTGAGTTGTTACTTGGTTTAAGTGTTGTGTTGTGCATATATGTTTATTACATATTACATTGTCACATAAAGGATATGATTTAGAATTTCTACATAATTTTTAAATGAATCATAGCAAAAATCATTGATTTAAACATTGTTTTGTATTTATGTATTTGATGTACGATATTCTATTACAATTTAAAAGTTTTAGATTTTGTAAAATAGCCTGAGGATGGGCTTTGAAAATAGATGAAAGCATTAACTTTTGTTTATTTAAAAGTTAATCTGCTGAGCTAAAAAACTTTTTAGCTCAGCAGATTAACCTTTTTAATATCTAATATTTTAATTTATACAATACAAAATTATTCATATTTAACTTAATTTAGTGTTTTTTTTTATTTTTTAAATATTTAAAGGAAACATTACAAAAATCAAGTTGTGGGGAGTTGGAATTACATAAATTTTCTGATCCTGAAAGTTGGATTAAAGCTGTGAAACAGAGATGTGAAGTAAGTTAGATTTTCATTAAAGTATTATAAAAGTTGAAAAATTAATTTAATAATAGATTTGGAATTTGACAGTTAATAGTTGAATATGAATTGATAACCTGAAAATCAAATTCAATGAGTTTTAAAATTTATATATTTTTTATATGTATTATATATTACATATATGCAAATAAAATATTTTAGCTTATTTTTAGTCTGCAATTTTCAAAAATTGTAGACCTATAAATTCAGACTGATATCTGTCAGTTGTCTGTCCTTCCTAAGGTCAAGAACAGAGTTAGACAGATGAAAATCAAGACCAGATATGGAAAGCTTAAGGACAGGAGGCCCCTATTAACTTTATACTAGGGTTTCACCAATGGGATCACAGAAAATCCCATAAATTTCTTAAAAATTCACTTTTTTCTTATTTTGTGTTAAAGTTGAGGAAATTTTGCAAATAGAAAGTATAATTAACCCATAAACTGTCAGAATACATTTGTATTTATTAATTTTAAACTTACTTATTAGTTTTTTAAATTTTTGCTTGTTATGGCATGTCACAGATTGTCAATAATCAATATGTAGCCTATTTGTGACAAGACTGAAAATTCTTTACTTGTCAGAATCTGTAATATCTGGAATAATTGTGCTTTTGCTGTCTTAATTTTTAACCATGGTCAGTAGCTCCAATAACTGCATTACGCCAGATTGTACAAATTGGACAAGGATACAAACGAGTATGAAGTATGCAAGTATGAAGTTTTTCTTCATAAACCTGATTATTAAAGCCAAATGAACTGCTGAATTATTGGGCTGTAAGCTCGATGCTACTATTAAAGCAGCAGAGGTAGACAAATCAAGAATACTAGACTGCAAAAGAAATACTGTAACACATCTCGAAAACAAACTAGAAATTTTCCAGGCTACAGGTGAAAAAACACATAACATCCGTCTTTTCTTAAATGCATTAAAAACGATTCCACTCACATCAATTGAATCAAAAAGGGTATTTGTGGTAGCAGGACTTTTCTTTAGTAAAATAAGAATCAAATTTAGTAAGCAGAGTATTGACCATCTTTGCTTTTTAAAATCTTGCTAATACAAAATATTATTGTAAATCTTTATATGTTTTATTTAAAAAACAAAAATTACCTTCTAAGTTAGAAGTTTGATCTAAGTTCATTTTTTCTTTAAATTTTCAACTCAATTCAAAGGCTTCTTTTTTCTTGTAAGCAGTTTCCAACAAACTTTAATAAATTTTTTCTATTTGTGAAAATTTCATCATCATCATCATCAAATTTATTTAATGTAGGCATTTGCCTGTTACAGGGACGTGCTATTTTAACAAATTATTATAACTTTACAATCAATAACTTCTTTACATAAAATTTATATCTTTGTATCTAACATAATTTCAGTTTAAGTTCTTGAATAACTGTTTATTATTTGAAAAATTTCCTTATATAGTTATAAAGATTAAAGATAGTGTTAACATTTGCTCTGTCCAATATCTTGTACATATCAATTTCATTCGTACAATTGGCTATTTTCTTAATTTCAGAACTTTGAGCATTATCGTTTTCATTGTCGCATTTACTAAAAATGTGTATTTTTGATAATGGTATACCACAGTTTAGGCATTTGGATTGTGAATATTCTATGTATTTGTTTCCCAACATTATTCCATTTTGATTTAATCTTGATTGTATAAAGAATTTTTTAACTATTTGTGAAAATTTCTGTATAATTCAAAAGTAATTTTTTATACATATTTTACACAGCATTGTTATTATTATTATTACTTTGGAGGGTGCAGGACGTATTAAGTTATTTAAAAATGAAAAATAATTATATCATTCAATTTTAAAATTTATTTTACATCTTAAAAGTAATTAATTATATCCCAGGAAACAGTTCACGTTTTTCCCAGAATCCTGGGACAAGCAAAAGACTGGGAAATGAGAAGCCCTACTTTATATGAACTTCTGGTTTGAAGCAGAAGTCGCATTATTTCAATTTGGAAAGTTTTTATTGAATGGAGTTAACAATAGCATCATACCTGCCATCTATCTAACAGGAAAAGTATGATGAACAGGGCAACACACTACTAAAATTGAGAGCATTGTGATGAAAAATTGCAGTTTGGCATTATGACAATGTCACAATAAATAATTGCTTGTTGGATTTTAGTTTAAAAATTTATTCTTAACGATCAGTTGATAAAATTTGTTTCTAGAATAATAATAAAATACTAAGAACTCCACTTTTAATTGCCTTTGACAGGTCAACACTGGCATTTCACACAGCTACACGATGTTCTCCACATGATATTTAATTTATAACAATTCTTTTGTAAATAATAATCGTTTTATATATTATTTACATCTATCTAATTTATATAAATAAGTTATAGTAAGACAAAAGAAGATTCTTCAATTTAAAATAATGTTACAAAAATTAATAGCTATAAACTTTTCAAACTAGACAGATTTTAAAATATTCTTTTTGTATCTTTTGTTTATAAGTCTTGTTTAGACTATATAAACATTTAGTCTAAACCAGGGGTCGGCAACCTGCGGCTCACGAGCCACATGCGGCTCTTTGGATGTGAAGCTGCGGCTCTTTAGTTCCATACGCAAGTATTATTTATTTTATCAAAAAAAAAAAAAAACATTTAAAAATCGTTCTGAATCGATTAACGATGATTAGGCACTGATTCTATCTCTCAGCCACTTCTGCTCGCTTTCCACCGCACCCCTCCCCCGTGACACGCGTCGTCACTGTCGTCAGTCTGTCGGAAGCTTTCGAATGACGCCGTCGTCGGATGTTTCTATTATGTTTNTGAAAAGAGTATTTATTTCTATTTATACTTTTATTTAAATAAAAGTATTTTATATTCATTCATTTTCCTACACTTGACAAAATTTGAAAATGATTTAAGATATACATATGTAATATCCTGAAAAGGATATTATAAAATGAAAGTACTAAAACTGAAATATTAATATATAAATATATATTATATGTAATTTATAATATAAAATAATATGTATATTATACACAAACTATATATATTTTTAAAATATAAAATTAATTTGCAATTTAAAACAGTTGACAGAAAAATTGTACTTATAGCCTAATGAATACTTGAAAATATAATATAAAGCACAATTTATATAAAAAATTTAGCAGTTGTTAAAAATTACATAAAAAAGAAAAGCAAATACTAAGAGACAGATTTAAATTATCAACCTGTAGGAAATTAACTCAATAATCTGATTAATCAGACTAATAACAGAATAATAGAAGATGCCTGCCAATAAAATTATCATTTTATGGAAATGAATTTTCAAATTTATTTGACAACTGAACTAGCCAAATAAATTTAATAATTTTAAATGATGACAATAAATGGAACTGTTTAAAATTTCGAATCAGTTTATTTTATGTAATAATTGGTTGTAACTAGCAAGTTTTTTCATATTTAATGATTGGTAAAAATTGTTTATTACAATAAAGAATTTTTTAAAATTATATTTTGTAGTATAAAAAGTAATTTTTTATACTGTAGTTCTGTTCTTATTATTATTAAAGTTGATGAAAGTTCTTGAAAGTCTGTTTTCCCCCCTGAATTTTTCTGAGTTATGATTTTTTTTTTACAAATTTTTACCTTGTTTTGTAAATTTAATTTACCTAAATTAAATGATCAAATAGGAAAGTACTTTTTTTATACAAAATTATTGAGAAGTTTCTCTGTGAAAAAGCAAATTAGTTTCATATGGAGAAATATTTATGAAGCTAATATAACTGAAAAACTATTACAAATAAAATATTAATATAAAAAATATATATATAGAAGTTTTCTTGATAACATTATAAATTCTTTCTCTCCTTTGTTTCAAGTAAATATTGAGATAATTGATTTAAGATGTAATAAGAATTAGATTTTAGAAGTTAGTTTATCACTAATAAGCTGGTCTTTAAATTATGTATAAAAATTATAAAATTCATTTTCTGTTTTCTGTAAACTATTATTCAATAAAATTATTTTATTATTTTACTAATAAACTTAAATTAATGTTTTTAGTTTTCCAACAAATTCACTTTTATATATAATTATTGAACACTAAAAGATAAACTGTAGTTAGGTATTTTATTATTTATAAATATAAATTTATACAAAGAAAGAAAGTCTACAGTCAATAGACTTAAATACAAATATCTTAACTGTTTTACAGTTTACTATAAATATATTATGCTAAATATCTCAGGACTAAAGTAATTTTATGAAATACAATGGAACCTCTATATTCATCATTAATCTGTTCCTAAGGACCTAATGAATATGGAATATGTTGAACATAGAAACAAGTTTTCTCATAATAAATAACTGATATTCAATTAATCTGTTCCCATCCTGAAAAAAAGGTACAAGAATAAAAATTATGTTGTTTGTAAAACTTTATTGTACTAAATAAATACAGTATAGTGGTAGAAAGGGAAGAAGAGTAATGTAATTATTGTTTAGAAGACATACCATCAGTTAAAACATTAGGTAATTCCAATTATGATTATAGGGTCTGTTTTGCCAATGATTCAGTAGCACTCAATTTAATAAAGAACTTGTCCAGTGTTGTCTGTTTGTGTCTGCTTTTTAAAACCTTTCTGAAGTAGGCAATTACAATATCATTGAATGCATTTGTATTTTGGTTGACTATAGCAACATTTGGGTGCCACTTTTCAACCATATTCTGCACTTTGGCCCAATTAGTCAGCATTTCATTAATATCAGTGTTAGGTATGGATCCTTTACTTGACTCTTCCTCTCTGGACGAAATCACCTCCATGTTTCAGTTTCTTGGTCTTACGAAGCTCCAACAGTTCTGTGGTGAGTTCCCTTGCATGCTCCACAACCAATTCCTCTACATCCTCACAATCAACATCCAAACCGATTGACCTTCCAAGACACACAATTTCTTTAACAACAGGTTGTGATTCAAAACCCCAAATGTCTGTTTCTGACACACATTCTGGTCATAGTT